AAAAATATAAACTATATTTTGATAAGACTATCTAATTTAGATTGCATTAACTATTTTATTTTATTTTAAAGTTGGAATGTTATCTTCCATTCTATCTCAAATTGTACTTTCAGTTTAGAGTATATATATATATATATATATATATATAGCTAATTCAAACTTATGAAAGTCTTTGTGCTGTTAGTATATGATTCCTTACTTCCAACCATTCTTGTGCACCAGCCGGTTCCCATGCAGCTAAACCACCATTTTTACTCTAGAAATAGAAAAATAATTAGGGGCAGATTATAATTAGGTTAAACTTTATCTGAATAACTAAATTAATATTCAAAATTAATTAATTTTACCTGTAAAGAAAGTAAAATGTTGACAGAATCGTATAATCTCTCAACTTCTATTTTTTTACCAATAAGTTCTGGTGGCATTATTGACAAATGTAGACAACACTGTACATTATAAAGACACTTGGTGAGATTCTTTATGTTTGAACATAAATAGTAACGCTCAATTTAAATTTTGTACCTTATAATTATTTTATATGATATTTAGAACTAAAAGGTAAAGAGGTTGTATTTTACAGACCCTTTCCAATCCGATTAAAAAACAAACTATTAATTTCAACACTTCCAAATAAATGGCTACTTCATCTATACTTGCAAATTAATGATTTTACGTAACTTTTCAAAATTTAGTTATTCAATATCAGAAGTAATATTTTTTTATTTAAATTGAAAAAAAAATTCAGTCAGATCGAGTTAACTTAAAATTAAATCTAAATCATGTTGATTTTGGATTAAGAGTAAAGAACTTATTCGAACAAGACTAAGTTATATATAGATTATACATATTTCAACTTTATATATATATATAAGATATATATTGTCAACTTTGCTTAAAGTATATGTAATATATGTTTTGATATATATACGTATAACATGCATATATAATTTGGATTGGTTTCATAAGAAATTCGGGTCAAAAACTAAATTAATGTGGTGAATTTATCCCACATCCAGTGTGAATTCAGATTTTACATATTTAAAACTATGTTATATATAAATTTTATTTAAAATATTTGAATGAAATGGTGATGATAGGAAGTTAGTAGCTCACCTTTAAGCCCTCTGCAGTGCAGTCAGAAACTTGCCAACCATGATCTTGATCAGAAAATGTCCATGATCCTTTAGAAATGTGACGATACATACTCTTAAAATCGTCCGAAGGATTTTCTTTCACCTTAAAAATTTTAATTCTAGATAAATATTTTAATAATAACATGAAATACTCACTACTAATAATATATATATATATATATATTATAAAGAGAGATATATATACTTCTTTAAATCGATATTAGACCTGAGATTTTTTCAAAAAATCATGTCCTCTCTTGATTACATTCGGAATTTCATGTGCCAAATTACTTGCAAGCAAGGCTTGAATAGCAAAAGCTGTATCCCATGCTTGGCTCCCAAAGCTCTGCATACATATATACATATAGGAAATATAATATTTATACACATAGAGAGTTAAGGTGAATTAATATTTGAGAATACTATTATTGACAATACATGTATATTTATTATCTACTATATATATATACAAGAAGGACCAAAAATTTAATATAAATTCATACCTGCATTTTCATTCCATCTTCAGCTACCCATAAATAATCTGGAATTCTTGCAAGATGCTTCTTAAAATAATCTCCAAGTGGATTTTCAACCCAACAAGCAAGCATGCATAAAACCTTTTCAACACAGCCGATGGTGATATATCGACTGTTTTCGTCTTCATAGTGAATGTGTTTCATGGTGACTTGAAGAGCTTTCTCTCTTACTAGTTTGTTTAGAGGCCAACGAGTAAGAAAAGGCTCACCAAAGAGGTAGAGGGTGTCCCAGATCAAGTCTTGTAGTAAAGGATGAGGATAATATATATCTTCCTATATTCATAATTATACACATTATATTATTTAATTAATATATATAAGAAGTAATAAATAATAAAGTAAATTTTATAAAATATTATTCTAACAGGTTAGTTCTCCATTAAATTTAAGTATTGACTTAGAAACTAAAATTTATGGTTTGATTTTAATTCTATAGTAAGACTGCAATGATTTTTTTTATAAATCTTTCTGTTATAGCATAATTAGTCTATCTTTAACAAAATCAAGTAGTTCTTTGGTTTTTATAATTAAAAAGTTGACCTAAAATACTATAACTACTAGTAACATATGTGCCAAACAAAACATAAAAAAGTTCTTCATTCATAACATATGTGGCTTGTTTTTCACTTAATCAAAGAAGAATTTAGTCTCAAATTCTCAAAAATAATAATAGAAGTTTTACCTTAGCACAGGAATGACGCGCTCTCCTCCAATTAATTTGATGGTAAGGCTGGGAATAGAGCTCCTTTCTCAACTCTAAAATGAGAGGTGTTGTAGGACCGACAAACTTTTTTCCATATAGATACGACATGGGCATATATACCATCCGACAGTAGCACCACATTTTAGCTGAAAATTATAAATTAGATATTAAGTTAATATTTGATTCACCAAGTATATATACATGTATTTTATTTTAAAAACATATATACATATATATGTATGTATATGTGTCTATATAACCTGGATGGAAAGGAAGAAAAGATGGAAGGAGCCAAAATTCGGGCGGCATTGGATTGCACCCACTCCAATCAAATACACCAAGTATCTACAACAAACTAATAATAGTTATTAAAAATGGATATATATATATATATATACAAATTTATTTATAATTAATGTTATTACCGAAAGCCAAGTCTTTCCCCAAGATGGTATATGAGTTGCACTACCATGATCAAGAATCCAACTACGAGCTCTTCTACAAGCATTGTCTTCTCCACCATCTCTTCCTTCTCCAAGAATCCGCATGCATACGTAGTTTAGCACTGTGCTAAACATGATGCTATTTCCTTCTATATGTAATCCCCATCCACCATCTTCGTTCTGTTGTATATATATATATATTAAGAATAATATTTATGCTAAAAGATATTTATATAATATATATATATATATATACCTGATGATTGTATGTATAACGAAGAATCTCTTTACGATGTTGAGAAGAAAAGATAACATCAAGGTGTCCAGTAATGTATAAACATATAACCTGTAATTTTTAAATACAAATATCAATCAAAACAGTCTTTTATTAATTCTTATAAATTAATTAAATAGAATAATTAATTGTATAAAACAAGAAATTTTAGAGGAAGTGTGACCAGAGGTGGGAGAAAAAACAATGGGCCAGCATTTTCCGCAGGCCAATGGCCATCGCTTGCTTGCAAGGCTGAGAAGAAATGAACAGCCCTCCTCAAAGTTGTTGTCACTGTTTCCTCTGTAATTTCTTCTCCATTCTCAACTTTCACCTGAGGAATTCTTTGCTCGAAATTTTTCTCCCTCAAGAACTGCAGTTTCATTTTATATAAAAAAC